TTTAAAATTCCCTTGCAATTATGAAATAAGAAAAAATGTTTTACACTAGATTCTTAATCCCCTAAATTTCCAGAAAGACTAAAGTGATTTTTTGTTTGTTTGTTTTTGCTAATGGTTTGACAAAAATAACTGACTTTTGTTAAAACTGGTTCTGGGAACAAGGATGATGGCTTCCATCTTTGTGGCCTGCAACCCATGCATGGAGCCATTCTCAGAACTTGAATGAAGGCTCGTCTCTGAGACATATGAACTTGCAGTCTAGGAGACTCAGAAAAATGTGTTGTTGAGCTTGTAAAAATTTTTGTTTTATCCTTTCTCCTGAATACATCAATAGACTTGTTGAAATATTCTTTTGCAGGATATAGCATATAGCGTTATGGCATATACTCATTATTAATTTGTGGTTTTGTATGTGTGTGTGTTTTTTTTGTTTGTTTATTTGTTTGTTTTTTTCAGACAAGTATGAACATGTGTGTTCTAAAAATGATTCTAACCTTTGCCAGTAGCAACACGTCCTGTAGTAAAGCGGTTTACCATTGCAGGGACACCGTCAGATCCACATTCTATCTGCAGCCAGGTATGAGATTGGGACTGCACCCGTTCCCTCAGGTAGTTACACAGCAGACAGTTTTTCTGCTTTGCCAAAAACTTTGTCAAGGTAGCACCGAGATCAGCTCAGGACTGAGGAATGGTTGTTCTTTTGGGGACTAACTGCTTCTGTTGTCACTTCATTCTGACCTAGCTCTGTAACATAACAGAAACCTGAGTCAAACATGAGTCTGAAGCTCTTGTCTGTTTAATGCACGCTTTCAGCAGTTTTGTTGACAGTGTGCCTAAAGGGAAGTTTCTGTTATTTTGGTACTCAGTGGTGCAATTTTTAATTTGCTGTTCATTGAGAGTCAAAGAGATAAATGACAAAAAGGCTTGTGAGTTTAGAGGCGCTTGTTCAGCGGAAGAGCTGGTGGCAGCACTAAGTATGCCGTTAATAGGAATATGATCAGCCTTTATGCTCTCGGTGGCGTGACTTAAAAGGTTGGGGCTTGATAACTCCACAAAGAAATATGATCCAAAAATATTGCTAGGGCTGTGACCTTCTTCTCTTGAGCTGTGCTGGATGGGATGGTATAGTTTAGCTCAGCAAAGTCCTGATCAGGAGTAAGACACCAGCTTCTCTTGGGGAAGAAATACTTCATACACTTGCCTTTAGCTGCCAGAGCTGCCAGTCTGCAGAAGGATGTTTATGTCAATGCCTTGTCACTTGCCAGATATTGGATGTCCTGTTCTCATGCACAGTTCCCGGGTGCAGTACTTTTTTTTTTTTTTTTTTTAAGGACTTAATGCTTGTTAGAAGACTCTAGCCACCTCCTTGTGCATTTTCTGATGTCTCTTCCCTTGGCACTTCTGAATACTACGTCATCTGTTCTCCCTGGAGTAGGACTTGGCTGTTTCTCATTGTCAGTGTCAGCTTAATCTATTAAGGAATGCTAGAGCTGTGGGTTTTCCTGTTGTTGTTTTTGTTTGTTTGGTTGGTTTTTATAATGTCTTCCATCTACTTCTAACATGTCCGTAACTGTTAGCTTGTGCCTTCTGTGATCGTTTGCATGTAGTATTCTCTGTCAAACCTGAACCCAGGACCAGGTAATGAAGGAATGGTTTGAAAATAGCACACTTCATACAGGCCATAATTTGATTTGTGTAGAAATAGTACTCCCACCGAGAACAATCATGTGGAGTATGTTCCTGTGCAGAATCTGGATGGAAATTCTGCCAAACCAACTAGCTTATCATCATGCCCCTCTGGATGGATACTTTTATTTCTTCTCTTAGCCAGCACTAGCCAGTGATGAAGACACTTCTAGCAATAAATAAATAAATAAATAAATAAATAAAAATTTGGAAAATGGATGGAAGCACTGGAAAAATGCTGAATTATGTCTGGGATTGCATTACATGAGGGTGAATGCAGTTACATTACAGACCTTAAGATGGTCTAAAAGCTCTAAAAGATTTGGAAATCAAAATCTTGGTGATGTTCACTCCGCTGTACAGAGTTTAGAGTTTAATTTACCTGAGGCTCATGGGAGTGACAGCATTGTACTTTAAGGATTCCTCACTTTGCTGAATAATTGTGCTGCTAGTGGGATTCATGTATAGCATCACTGGGAATTGTTGGCAAAGTTTTCAGGAGGTAGAATTAACTAAAACAAAGCTGCAGCCTGACAGATGACTAGACTGATGGTATATCTAAATCTGTGTGTTTCTAAATAATGATGATGCCTCTGTACGGCACTGCTCTTGCTTCTGTGAGTGGAGGGATGGTGGTTTTGAAGGCATTCAGCCTTGACTGCATGCAGTGCGAGGCCCCTGTGTGGAGGCACTGGCTGTGACATTCCACTTCTGGGATGGGTGACATACACCCGGGGAGGCAGAGCTGTAATTGCTCACCACCAGTTTTGTATCCATCTCCCACAGGATCCTGCCTTTCTACAGTGGAAAGCCCTAACTTTTCTTTCCACACTGTTTTTCCTTTTTTTTTGCAAGACTTGAACCCTCCTTCTGACCGTCCTATATCTTTGCTTGGTCAGGGATCTTACTCTTTTAGTTGGCTGATTTGATGAACTACCCTCAGCATTAAACTTCAGTATGGGCAGAAATATGCTTTGGAAATATTGGGACTTCTTTTTCAGAATTGGGATCTGACAGATTTCTCAAAATTTCTTCAGGCAAGAGGTAAAATAAGCATAGTGCTTAACAATAAGGTAGTGAATTCATTAAAAGTCATGAAAAGTCCCTGCTTGGAATTGTTCACTGAAACCAAAGAAAAAAGCTTTACTGTTTTGAAATAAAACTATGTAAGAATCAATAGCTGTAGTTTTGTTTTGTATTTTAGTAGGGAAAGTAAACAAAATGCAATAAGAAATTTCTTACTAAGTTTGATTTTAAATTTATTATGAAGGAAAAACAGCTAATTTGAGAAAGGAGAGAAATTAATTGTTTTGTGAACAGAAGCTTTCAGTGGTTAGAGGCAGTGAGTGCAGACAATATGTTTTTTTCTTGTCACTTTAAAGCAAAAAGCAAATGGTGAATTACAGAGACATTTCATCAGCTCTGGTAAGGAATCTGAATATCATAGATGCAGCTGCTGGCGCAGTCTCTTGTGTTAAGCTCAGTGTAGCAGAAATGGAAAAAATCAGTATCCACATGAATGAAGTAGAATTTGATTCTTGGTTGCATGATCCATTTTAATGAACACTGTGCTTTCCATTTGCTCCCTTCTCATACAAACCAATGGAGTTCCTCCTGAAGCACCTGCAAGGTAGTAAATAGTCTCCAACAGCGAATAACAGAGTTCACCAATAGTTCAAGACATTTTTGTCAATAAATTCATTAAGATTTACATGAAGGATATCATATTTTAGAAAAATGAAGAGGAAGGGGAGAAGAGAGAATAGGTTGGGGTTTAACAGAGGGAGATAGTTGCTTTCAAAAATTAATGACCCATAACACTGGAATATGAAGTTGTTTTTTTGTTATCTTCTCACAACAAGTGCAGTGCAGGCATACATAACACAGCGTTCTACATATTTATGCAGATTAATGATTATAACCTTCCTACTATAAATGAGCCATTTTTTCATCTGATGCAAAATAATTAACCCTGTACTACTAATTTCTACTTTGGGGAAGAACATTTCATAAATGTTATACTATATTGTTCTGCAAAATAAATTTCTTCAAATTGGTATTTGGAAGGAAATAGATGTATTTATTAAAATTTTTCTCTCATGTCAGAAGTAAATATGGGAGCTATCTACATGTGAGTTATGTATAAAACAGCTGAAAGATCTAACTTGGCAATATTTTTAGTAATAATATTAAATATTGATTATTTTATTGCATGATTGCCAAGATGAGTATTTCATACTGGCACACAATTGTAGCAGCTACTAAATTACATTGACATTGAAGTTCTTTTTACCTATAGGGCTTCATAATTTGGCATTTGTCAACATCAAATCATTTCATCACAGACTGACAACACTCTATGACTCTCAATAAATGAGAAAAGACCAGGACGTTTTTAAATTTCAGAACCACCCCTAACCCATGCCGTATTTTAAAGGAAGAGTACCCCAAAATTTTTCTCCCTTGCTGATCTGTTGGGCTCCAATTGTCCTATGCCTACTAGCTGTAGTTTTATTAAACGTGCACTAGAGCTAGATGGAGACAAGCCAATTACTTTCACTTGAGATTTAGTTCATGTCTTACAGCGGGTTTGCAGAATTGCTTGGCTGGGCCTATAACCCATTACAGATGGATCTTTCTTATAAAGAAACCCCTGCTTTCTTTTCTTGCTGTTAGGATACAACCATATGGCAACAGTTTGTACTCCAAGACACTGTCATCTTAAATTCTCTGCCATGAGAACACCCTGACATCTTAGCTGTTTGTGCAATATGCGTTGAATGGTTCTATGAAAATAACATAAAGTCACTTTCAGAAATGATGTAAAAATCAGGGATGGTCCCAAGGGTCATTAAGTGATCAAACCAGATTTCTATTCAGACTCTAATTAAGGAGGACTATAGACTTGCAAACTCTTTCTGTCATGCCTGCCAAAGAAAGCTGATATGTTTGGCTAGATAAGGTAATGGCACAGTAAGATGTTTTTTTTGTTTTGTTTTGTTTTGTTGTTTTTTCCCCATTATAGTTTGAAATTGGATAGAGCCTAGCAACATGGAGCTGTGAGTTTGCTACAGTGTTTGAGTTACCTGATCTGGAAGTTTTGCTCAGATCTAGCTCAGATCTTGTTTTCTTGCTGCCAGCAAGATCCTCTAAAAATATTAGTATTTTAATAATAATAATAATAAATATATTATATTAGAATGTAATAATAATAATGGTGTGTTTAGAAACATGATATACCTAGAATGTCAGCCTGGCTTACTGGTAGCACAGCTGGATCAGTGGTTTTAGCAATATTCTGTCATCTCTTGCAGTGGCTGGATTCCAGTGACGTGGCTGGTGTTCGTTCTTGGCTTGGCACCCAGCTTCCTCTGATGAAACTGCTCCAACATCCAGTAGAGACTTAATGGCAGCAATGTGCAGGGTGTGCACAGAACCGCACAGTGCTTTCAGGTGTCTGCTCAGCCCCCTGCCTGCCTTGCTTATCTGGTAAGCCGTCTGAAATGAATTTTTTCTTCTGTCATTTCCTCATATCCCAGCACACAAGAGGTTAAGGTTAATGCTGAAGACATCTCTCTTACATGATGCACTGAATAATCCTTCCTTGTCCCAGTTCAGATGGCGTGTAATTCTGTGGACCTATTCCCCACTTACAGTTAATCATGCCAAATGTAACATAGAGGAAATCCAGAGAGAGGGGGGAGAGAGAGGGAGATTGATAGCATAAAGAACTAAATCGAAGGTCTTTCAAGATTAGGAGTTTCAGTGACCATAATTATGTCTCAGATTTTAGCAGATAACTATCTTGGCAGAATAATCATTCTTAAGGCTTGCTATGGATCCAAAGTATTTCAGTGCTATGAAGTATTTGCTTGGTCATAATTAGAAGGGTTGAAAGCAATTCTTTCTTAATAATATCCTGTCCTTTTTATTAATGATTTAAGAGCAGTTTCTTCCCTTGTCAAATGTATACTTATCTTAGAAGTATTTTTTTTTAAATATGCTTAATATCTAAAGAAAATATTAGTGAAAATAATGTAGTGTACTCTCCATATAGCTCTGTATTAGTTTGTATATAAGTAGTTGTAAACCACATTGCACATACAAAGATTTTAAGTGGCTGAGCAGTTAACAGGTGAACATAAGTATTTACTGCATTTCAAATACTATGCCACCTCACATTTTTTGGCAAACCTTATAAACAAGCAAAGTAAATCGAAACTCTGAGTAGTGACTTATCAACTGCTTTTGATGGTAATCTGGATTTAAATACTGTCTGAAGGAGATTTCTGCTTGGATGAAGACTGGCTGAGCAAGGCAGCTGACAAGGATGCTAGTTGCAGCTAGGCTAAAAGGCAGCGAGGGTGTCTGATCTCCCAAGTGGAGCAAATATCAAAGAAGTGCAGCATACAAGTGGTCTTGTTCAGTACTCAAGAGCTGGTGGCAGCATGTGTGCTTTTTCCTGCACTTGGTATTGCTTTTAAGACCTTTGTGTTGGAGATATAGCAGTTGCCTCAGAGTTCCAGGTCATGAGGTTGGAGTGCTGCAATATGCTTCACTGTAGGGACATCTGAGAGCCATGGGGAGAACCTAGCTGGGACAACTGTGATAACCTTTTCATTAGGCAGCGTGTCTTGCAAGAAATCTGCTTCACCTGTGTTTTGTGATTCAGCTTTCTATTGCCTCCCATTACTTTTCTTGTACACCATAAAGAGTTTGCATTTTATTTTTGGCTTTAAATTTATTTATTTATTTTTATATTCCAATGGATTATGGTTCTGGTAACCCTGAAAAGAACTGCTTTACTGTTTACAACTACCTGATCAATCATATTGCATCCATAGTGCTTTTGGTTTACATTAGTACTTCTGTTAGAGAGGGCAGATGGTTGGACATTCTCAATTAAAGACTCCTGGTGTATCTTTATCCTGATGGGGCAACCAAGTTTTGGTAGCATTTAGATTAGGTCTGCTAGCTTTTGGATTGAATTGTGAAGCAGGTTTTTTTGTTGTTGTTGTACGTTTTTTGTTTGTTTGTTTGTTTGTTTTTATGCAACCGATAGATGTGTCTGGGAAAGAAGTGGTCAGAAGGAAGGATTTCTTTTCAATTTGGTTTGGGGATTTTCTCATGGATTTTTTTTAAAAACAATTTTTATGTTACTTTAATAAAATGATGCAATATGTTCTGGATAATAACAGTGAAAGTGTAGAGCCTGAAGTGTAACAGCAAAGAAGTCTTTATTTCCCTGAAGCCTTTCAATTTGTTTAACTAATTAAAGAGAACAGACCAGGTAAATGGTCATGGCACCAAGCCTGCTGGAGTTCAAAAAGCACTTGGACAATGCTGTTAGACATATGGTTTGATTTTGGGGTGGTTCTGCGCGGAGCCAGGAGTTGGACTCGGTGATCCTTTTGGGTCCCTTCCAACTCAGGATATTCTGTGATTCTGTGATTCCCATGCTACCAACTTGGCTCTTACCTCCCTGTTTTTCCTGAGAGCTATTGTGATTGCAGAAATTTTCTGCCCGAGACTCTTGCAGCGTGTACTGCAATATGTCAGTATCTGTTGATTGCATTAGACAAAGGATAACTTGTGGGTACAGCTGGCTGAAAAGATTTCTATGCTAAATTGTTGGATTTGGGGGTTCTTTTTAGTGTTGTTGTTAGGTTTGGTGCTGGGTCAGACTAACTGACACTCTGCAGATAAGGTGCATGCTATGTGAATAAGTTGGGGTGGTAATATGGATGGTCAAATGCTGTCCTCTTAATCTCGAATAATAGGCTCCAATCTGCTTCCAGATGTCTCTAGTCCTCCACAGCATGTGCAAGCCTTCAATGTCCAATGCAAAATGGTTTTATCCTTTCGTCATCCCCTTAAAATTTTTTCCTGGAAGTTATAGCAACAATATATGTTTTTTTTTAATTTTATTTTTTTTTCTATAGAAGCAAGAATCATGCACCAGACAGCCCTGTCTAGCCACCCCTGGTTTGTGAATTGTACTGGAATCAGCCTTGCCCCCCCCAGCCATGGAGGCTGCTGTTACTGAGTGGTGTTGACCTATGTAAACTCTGCAGACGTTTAAGAACAGGAGGAGATAACACTCGGATTTTGCTAATTCCAGCAGGGCAGTCCCCCCCTCCTGCTTCCATGCTGTCTGGAGATGAGGTGGTCTGTCTCTGTCCGTTAGGCTCTAAATGCCATCTCAGGAAAAGCTACAATTTCTAATGGTGATCTCAGGGATGTTATATGTTACAATCTTACCTAGCTAGTTAAACAAATATATGATACCTTTACTTACAGCGCAGATGGTTTTAGGAGAAAATTGTCAGTTTTTGCAAAATCTTTCATGATATAACTGCTTTCTCCAATGCACATATACACATTTCTTACACCAATAAAAGGGCTTTTCAGACATACATGTAGATCTCTGGAAAAAACACTAACGTCTAGTTACTAATTAGAAAAGTGACAGATGTTTGTTTCCTTCTCCTCTCCTATCAGCTACAGCTCTCATTGTTTTTTCTTTTGTGCATATCAATTCTTGGAATTAATATAGAGCAGGGATATTTTCCTTTGCTCATCTGTATGCTTCTGGCTCTTGTTGGTATGTCAGACTCATTTTCTGCAAGAAGACAAAATGACACTTTTAGTTAGGACCTGCAGGCAAGACTGCAAATATAGTCCACATGCATTCCTACAGATAACAAAGGTTGGAGTCTAGTGCGGCCCTGCAGATACCTCAGTGTTTGGAACGGAAAGGTTACCACCTCTAATACTGTCAGGCAAGACAGAGAGAGCCCTGTTAGAGCTACCTGTTAGACCAGGGCCCCAGGGAGAATTCACATCAGTAGGCAGAGACAGAAACTGGCTCAAACTGTCATTCCATCCTCCTAAATGTCAACTGGATTTGTGAAGTGAGGAAAAAACACAGTGCTTGCCATCATCCCAGGGATGAACTGGACCTCTTGGAGCTTGGCATCCCCCTGAGCTGCATCAAAGGTACTCGGCTTTTCACAAGGAAAGAGACATATTGCAGAGAGAGAATGGATATATAACTGCAGTGATGATGCACTATTGTTTGTATTCTTTGCTCACTTGGCTGCTTTTATATTTAGTAGGATAATTTGCCCATACAGTTGCGGTATTTTTTTGCATAAATGGGAGAAAAGTGAAACAGAAACCTATGTTCATGTGTGCTAAAAGCATTTGGAGACTGACCCTGAACAAGGCATCGTTAGTTCCCAGAGTTAATTCTCTATTGAGATGAATAGGGTAATTCATATAGTTCATATATTAAAACAGTAGCTCAACCAGGAGCAACATCTCTTATTTTCAGAATGTTTATCTTCGTAGTTATCAAGATTGAAAATTAACTCTTCTGTTTTTTAAAGGCAAATGTCTATCATTAAGCATGGGCCTTGGCCAGGAAAGTAGAAAACATACCAAATGAGCACAGAGGATAATGACTCTCTTTTGTCTCTCTTCCACATCTGAAGTTAATCTAAGACATTAAACACTATGATGAAATTACTGCCTTTTGAATAATTTCTGACACGTACTTTTTTAAAAAAAAAACTATTAGTCATTAAGTTTTGATAACACTGGTACTTTCATGTCTCCTTACCACATCATTATAAACAAGTGAATCCCTGGAGAATCAGTACATGCCAATGCCATCATGGATGCTTTGTTTTCTCGGCCACAATTTTGTTTAACAGGAGGCTTCGTGTTCTTTACTTGCATCTGAATTCCAAAAAAGTCAGTCATGACAGCTACCAGCCCCATCAGCCTTCTAATAGGTAGATACCAAACATTATTGCTTTATTTCCTGAAGGATCTCTTGCACAGTTTTCTTCTGTGAAGCTTAAATTAACTGGAAGTTGACCAGAAAAACTGTGTGTAATATTGAAAGAAAGTGGCTCTACACTTTTGTAATCATACTTTTTCAGCCAAATGTTATACGATGCATTAACCTTGGCTAGCTGCCAGATACCTACCCCCTTACTCTCACTCCTTCAACAGGAAGGGGGAGAAAACCAGATGAAAAACCTTGTGGGCTGAGGGATCACTTCAGAGAGATCACTTACCAGGTAGCACCACAGACAAAACAGACTCACCTTGGGTAAAATTAATTTTATTTATTGCCAAATAAAACAGATTTGGACAGTTAGAAACATAAGACAAATTAGACCACCATGGTTTCCCACCTTGTTTTGTTCCCCAGGCTCAGATCTACTCCTTCATTCCCAAGTCCGTGCCCTGAGCAGCATGGGAGCATGGTGGGACTGCAGTTAGCCTGTAGCAGCTCCTCACTGTTGCTCCAGCATGAGGTCTTCCCATGAGCTACTGTCCTTCAGGGTACCTGCCCCACCATGCAGCTGCAGGGGGACTGCCCTGGTACCTGGAGCTCCTTTACTTCTGGCCCGGGTGTTCACAGAGCTGCTCCTCACGCTTTTTGCCTCACAGCCAGGCAGCGTTTGCCCTTTCTCCAACTCATTTCCACAGAGGAGCCATTGCCTTTGCTGGCAGACTCAGCTGTGGCCTGAGATATGTGGCTCTTGTGGAGTCAGCTGGAACCATCTGGAAGCAGCCGCGTGAGGCACAGGGCAGCCCCAGCCTCTCCTCACAGGCATCACCCCCACTGCCAGCACCCAGCCTGGACACCCAACGTGTAATAATCAAGCATTTTTGTTTCTGGGAGCATCACAAAAGTAGCTCGTTGATTTACTTTAATGTTTATACTGGTATTTTCAAAATTGGGTAGTTGGAAACTGAAAAATTGGGTGCCGTTTATTTCTTTGGAGGTAACAAAGCTGAACGAAGCAGTAAATGCAAACAGACTTGTCCCCAGGGTTTGTTTATGGCTTTCAAGGTCTGTGAAGTGTTTCCCATCCTGGCAGATGCTGTGGAGCAGGAAGGGGAGTGGAAAGTACACGATCAGGGAAGGACTTCTGTGCTGTGGAGATGGGAAGGACTTCTCTGCTGTGGAGATGAGAAGCACATATTACCCCAGGTACAGCTCTGGGCAAGCCATGCCCTACTGGAGGGGAGGAATGTCTGTCACAGGAAGTGTGGATTTCTTTCCTATGATTACAGATGCAACTATAATCCTAAAGCCAGCTGCGGTCAGGGTAAGCTTATTTTAATTCTGCAACAATATGGCTGTACCCTGTGCAGAACTGGCTAAGGTCTTTGCTCTCCCTTTTGCATTAGCCAGGGGTGCCCAGATGAATCCATCTACTATAGCCATATTATCCAGCATCAAATTTACTTTTTACAGGAATATTTGGCTGTTTTGTGCAGTCAGTAAAGGAAACCTGGCATGTCCTGTGCTTACATACAGATACGCATAGATTTTGTGGCTTCAGTATCTGTTGTACTATGTTTTATTTTGAGTTTTTGTTGTTGTTGTTTGGTTTGGAGTTTTTTGTTTGTTTGTTTTGTTTTTTAGTTTATGATATACCACTAAAATAAGGCTGTGTTTTTTCAACCCACTTCTAAACCTATAATCCCCACAGAAAGGCAATATTTCACATACTTGTAATTCCTAGTTTTACGTTAGCCCAAAACGTAAGTAACTTTTTGATGTGGCTAATTCTGGAATGGAATGTAAGAACTGAATATAAGAACTGGAGCTGAATGTCAGCTCCACTGACATTGTGGAGCCCCTTGAGATGGGCAGCTGATAATGGTGTCCAGTAAGGGGCACCTGGAAGACCTCTTCTTCTGAGGAGCACAGAAAGGATGTTTCGCAATCAAAGCATAATTAACCAAGACAGAATTTGGTCACGATACAGTAACATTACATTCTAGGCGCTGCAGATGGAGGAATGCTTATGTTCACTTTCTCATCCAAAGGTTGCCACTTCAGTCTGCTGCTGGATCACGTTCTGCTTGCTACTGGAAATGTGTAAATTAGACCAAACTCTTATGAAGAAAATGCCTGGTGTCAATCTTACGCTCCACTTGATGGGAAAAAAAAAAAAGTTCAAGTGTGTTCATCCTTATCTCTCACAGGAGCAAAAATGAAATCTTGAAACACTCAGCATTTGAGCAGTGTTTCTGATGCTAGTGGTTCTTCAGAGGTCTTCCATAAAATCCTGACTTCACCACATCCTGCTGACTTCCATATCTAGCAGGATGGTAGCACAGGGTAAATTGGCTGTAACTTAGGCGGTATTTATTTCTTGTACTATATTAAATTTGTATTATAATCAATGACATCTAGAAGCTCACTGGGAACCTCAAGGCAGTGGTTATACAGATTAAAGATGAATTTCTATTTTATTTTTGTACTGAAGTGCATTTACAGTAACAGGCTCAGCTTTTAGAAACTTTTCTTTTACAAAGAGTTGGCATTATAGCTTGGGCTAAGGATAGACTATGTGCGTTGCCAAAGCCTAACAAGGGCTTATAATATAAAGATGATTAGCAGAATAAATCGCTCAAATCCTGAAAAAGGCAGCAAATTCTGTGACACTGAAAGTGATGGTGAAGATTTTGACAGTAGGGTTTTTTTGCTCGGCACCTTGTGTAAATTCTTGTGCAAAAGAACATTTTTTTTTAATAGGTGCAGTCACAAGATCATATATATTGAAGTGTTAAGAAATTAAGCTAAAACATAGAAATTGTAAGATTTATTTAAAATGTATATGCACTGTGTATGAGTATGCATATGACTGTAGAGATGCATTTATATATGTATATATGTTTGATGAATGAATTTTAGAGTCTTTCTAAACAGTAGTCAATTTCTCTTTTTGCTTTATGAGATCAGTAATATAGGTAACACAGTCCAAGATTTTTCTAGACCGATGCAGTCTATTTCTAGAAAGTGCTGTCTTTAGGGCTGTATCCAAAAGGTCACCACCCTGGCATAGAGGAGAAAAATAATACAGATCTCTTGCAGTCAGAGACAAATAGTTTTCCGCCTTAGTACACATCTCTGCTACTAAAAGTGTAGTGCAGCAAGGAAATCCATTTACAGTTTTTCCTTTACATAACAGTTGCAATGCCCTTAAGAGGCCCCAGTCATTTCCATATCCTCTTCTTCAGTTGTCCTGTGGTATACCTTCCAATAAAAAGCCTGTTTACTGAGAACTGGTACTGTTCTGTGAAGTGTTTCTCAGCAAACATTACAGGCCAAAAGCACGTGTTTAGACTGCTTTGAAAGCTCTCTCAGGTAATAATAATAATAATAATAATAATAATAATAATAATAATAATAATAATAATGAGACTCCTACTTTTTTCATTACAAGAGTTCTTTACCTATGCATAGGTATCTTTTACAGTTTTATATCAAAAAAAAGCATGTAAGAATGCTTGTGAAAGCAAAAGGGGATGGACTGGCCTTGCAATTGCCATGTGCCTCATTGGTCATAATCTGCATCTGGGGTAGCTGCTTACACCTGTGCTGAATTTCTTAACTGCCAAGCGAGTGATACCACCTGAGCCCTCCGTGCAGGTATACATGTAATTCATTACTGGGCTGTTTCTCCTATTGCTTCTTCATTTTTGATCATTTAGTTCTGCCTACATATCCAATGGCCAGGTTTTTGCTCACCACAAAGACCTCATTTTGTATCCTGCGGCCAGAAGGACTTTCCTCCATTAAGTTCTGCCATTTTCCTTGTCAGAGGCCCTGCCTCTGTTGTTGAACTCCATAAACATGGCCCCACCATTCAGTTGATTAGGATACTCTATGAGTCTTCCCCCTTATTCTGCCTTCACAGAATCACAGAATTTCTAGGTTGGAAGAGACCTCAAGATCATCGAGTCCAACCTCTGACCTAACGCTAACAGTCCCCACTAAACCATATCCCTAAGCTCTACATCTAAACGGCTTTTGAAGATTTCCAGGGATGGTGACTCCACCACTTCCCTGGGCAGCCTGTTCCAATGCCTAACAACCCTTTCGGTAAAGAAGTTCTTCCTAAGATCCAACCTAAAACTCCCCTGGTGCAACTTTAGCCCATTCCCCCTCGTCCTGTCACCAGGCACGTGGGAGAACAGACCAACCCCCACCTCGCTACAGCCTCCTTTAAGGTACCTGTAGAGAGCGATAAGGTCGCCCCTGAGCCTCCTTTTCTCCAGGCTGCCCAAGCCCAGCTCCTTCACCCTAAGCTACACAGAAACTCGTTTAATATTTTAATATTCTCTAATTCATGTTCTACCAGTTGATGCAACTTCCCATTTGTATTTTACATTCCACTAATGTTGTTGTCTTGATCAGCCTTTTTTTTTTCTTTTTCTTTTTCTTTTTTTTTTTTTCTCTTCCTTCTAAGCACTTTGCAGTTTGCTGGTCTCTGATGACATTTGGATGCAAAAGCAACGCTCAGTTTTACCCTTGCCCCTAAGAATGAACTATACATCCAGGTTCCTGAGTAAGAAACAGAAGATCTCTTAATGGTTCTTCCATTAACCAAGTTTGTTTCATCTTTAGGCATATGGTTGTTAATTAGAATAACAGATGAAGTACAATAAATGTGTTCCAATTAAAATGGACAAATTTGTAACTCATGCATAGGTAAAATTACTTCTGCAGTTCAGTGGTTGTATAAACAATGTCTTAATTATGTTTGCATCTAATACCATCAGCAGTTGCACTTTGATAGCTATGAGAAGTTCTGTGTATTATTCCAGTTAAAAATAAAAACTGATGATGGAGCTGGTCACCTCTAATAACATCTATGAATTATAGCACAGATGGGAGAAGAAATGAACACAAATGCACCATACTGAAATAACGAAGGAGAAAAATGTGAAAGAAAACAATAGTAAAGAGAAAAGGGTTAGAAAAGGCAACCTCTGAGGGAAGTTCAAGGAAGTTAGATTTTGTCTAGGAAAAAAAGGAAGGCTAAAAAAGACCGAAAGAGGTGACTATAGAAGCAGCAATAGAGATTTAGTGCATTTTAACACCTGTTCTGGTGTTACAGGCCTCTCTCAAGGCATCCTCTGGCTGACGCTCTCTGAGGTTGGACCTTGATCTTTTATTCCTGTTCACTTCTCTTTCTTAGCTGTCCCTGCCCAGAACTTGCTCACACAAGCTTTTTCCATACATTTGCTTCTGTTTTGGGTGGAAGCATGATCTTGTAGGTGCTTCACAGTAAATGAGAGTGGTTAAATGTAACAGTTTCAGGATGGTTAAGTGCAGTCTGGGGCATCTTTAGCCAATAAGGAGCGAAGGCATAGTACAACATTCAGAGTGAAGCTAATTAATATTTACAACATATCCACATGTATGTGGCTTTCTTTGTATGTAACTGTCTTGTTCCCTATCTACATAGAAAGCTTTTTATTGTGAAAGAGTTCTTAAACAACCTTGTGAGAATGAGCACATAGTTTGGGATGTGATGGTGGGCAGGCAACTCTTCACACAAATCAGCACAGATTTTACCCTGGTTAACAATAAGAGTCAGTTAAATGGGAAGGTTCTTTGTCAACATATGCAAAATGTTGGTAATGTTTCAGTTGGCTCTCTGAAAGCAGGGGTATCCTTCTGGGCAGCCTTTACACAAAGGGACGAGAATGAACAGGAATGTAGTAGAAAAACTGGAAACCAGAGTAAACTCCGATTGAGAAAAAAGCTGTGTCTATCAGAAATATGCTGTGAAGGATAACAGGGACAGGGAAGGCTTTCATGTAGCTTCCATTACAGCTAAAGAGGCTTTCATAACTCACACCAGCTGTGAGGCGTTCCCACTATTAAATCAAGAAAAAGCAACTATGTATACTGAGTTCTCCTAATAAAACTGGAGAACCTAGCTTGTTGTTCTGAAGGGAATTTTTTTTTTTTTGGGGGGGGGGGAGGGGTTGTTTATTTATTTATTTATTTTTTACATAAGGGGAAGAAAAGCATAGCAAAATTTTTAGTATTGCTCATATGTTGTTGAGAATCTCAAGGGCTTATCTCTGCTTGCCAGGATCTTCTGAGTGTTACCATGCTGTTATGATTACTGCATCACTGACTTTGCTGATGGAATTGAGAATATACTTAAAATGCAGAGAGCCATAATGAATTGTGAATGGGAAGCTCTTTCACAAGTAAGTTGGAGGATAAAATCAGAATTCAAAGTGATCTTCAAGTGGAGGATTGAGCTCAAGCATCTAACATAGGTAAGTGCAAAGAAGGAAACCCACACATAATAGAGAATATCTGGAATTACAGCTGGTCACCAAAAATAGATATGGTAGTTGTAGCATATTGTAAATTCCATATATGGAATATGTGGCAAAAATGCAGTGCTGTTACCCAAAAGAAAAATAAGCTAGTTTTAGCTTGAAATATCTTAGCTGCAGTCTCCCGTCTAACACAGGGAAGAACGTTGTTTTGTCTTTCCTGGATCTCTTGAGCCTCCAGGTAGAATATGGGTACAGTCCTGAGTTTCACCCATGAAGACAGACATACACAACTTACAGAAATATGAGGAAAAAATAAATAAATGTGAATTTCAATGAATTTAACCTCTAAGGGAAGCTTGAAGCAATTAGATTAATTTGACTTAAGGGGAAAAAAAAAAAAAAAGAAGGCTAAAGGAGACCACAGTAACAAATATTTAGTCTGTACAAGATAAAGAAGATTGTGATTTCATTTCTTTTATATTCTCTAGAGGTAGAACAAGAAGTAATCAGTTCTAATTGTAGGAAAGAAGATATAAAGCGGGTATTTAAAAACAAAACCAAAAAACTTTTCCACTGTAAAAATAGCGGAGCAGTCGAAGCAGGGTATAGGCATGTGTTTTCCTTAGAGGATTTTTTTAAAAGGATATCATGAAAACATCTGTTAAGGGTTACCCTGGATATTCTTGATTCTTATCATAGAATGAGACATAAATCAGATGATTTATCGAGATCTGCAGACTGATAGTGTTTCCTGCCATAGACTGTAGCCTCTCATTTTTGCTGTATTTTGATTGCTGTGATGCAAAATTGAAATAGTTCAATAGAACTCTTACAAGGTCTGTAATAAGATTTTGCAATGAAAAGTATGGTGGATATTTCAGGAAATTCTGATTAATGTGCTGTAGAGGAGATACATGTCTCATAACACAGCAGCGTGTATTGTGCCTTGAAATAACAGAGTTAAGAGTTTGTAAGTGCTCACAAAGTGGCATCTTCTTGAATTCCTGCCTTTAAAAAAAAAATCCAGTCTGGTTATTTTATTTTATTTTATTTTATTTTATTGTAGGCAATATAGACCTGATGTTCCCCTTTCATCTTCTTCTTTCTACTGAAGGAAGAGAAGCAGAGCAGACAAAATGATTAAAAAATAATATGAGCCTCAAATCATTTTTGCATATGAAAAGTAGACAGTCTTTATTTTAAAAGTCTTTTTTTTTTCTTTAACATCAAAAGGGACAATATAGGTTGCCTAGTCTGACCTTAACTCTGGTTTATTAATAAAGTCAGAGCTGGTGATAAAATGGTTTCTGATGATGGCACAGAAATAGCCATGTTAAAGAGTTAGTACATCTTCATGTACCGTCTTAGACTAATATATATGCGTGTGTGTGCCTGCAAATCCTTTGGCATGTGGGTGTGTTTTTTTTGTTTTCTGTTTGTTCTAGATATGTATCCATCAAAAGATATCTGAGCCAGAAGTTCCTTTTTTGTTTCCTGTTCTCTCCCAAAGTACTTGTAACAGAGGTTCTAGCGCTGAGCTTGACTTTGCATCAGTTAGGTGGAATTGCTGACTCCGACCCTAAATCATGATGCTGTTCTGTAGCAAAGCAGCCTCTTGATAGCAGTCTTCCTCAGCTGTTCAGAAATTCAGTTTCCAATGGCTAAAAGTGGTGGGTTGTCACAGAGAAACAAAATGTGACCATCCATGAGTTGCAGGAATTCTGCCTGTATTGTGTGAGCTTTTCTAGTATAAGATTATTATTATTTTTATTTTTTTTCCAAAATTTATGTATTATACCTTTCTAGTTAACACTGAAGTGTTTGGAGCAGAGAGCTGTTAAAGAGGCTTGAAATAACATGCTGTAAGAACAGAGTTTGATTGAAAAGGTGCATAATAATGAAAGCCACCTAAGCAATGAATTATGGGTCACACTATTATCAAGAGAACAGAATTAGTAGAGCTCAGAAGAAAAGCGAGTGCACAGTGTGACAATAGCCCAGGGCATGTCTGAGAGGAACTAGTAAAATGAGATTACTTGCAATACACAGTGCAGACACAATAAACAGTAATGGGCTAAAACAGAAGAAAGGAAACAGGTGTAAATAGCAGGAAGGAAAATCACTGCAAAAATACCAATTAGGCACTTGCATAACTACTGTTCATCATGCGTGATATGCTACCATGGCTGGATTAGGCAAGAAATTTAATATGGATTTTACAAAGATCAGCATACGCCATCCTACAGGGCTATGTTCAGTCTATATCCTTGTTGATCCACATGTAGAGTAGGTGATCAGAAGACTTTCTTGGTCACTGGAGTAAGATTATTTTGGCTAGTTTAAGCAAAACAAGAACAAGGTTTATCCTTCTTTTTATGCTTTGGAATTAGAACATACTGTTACATGAATGATTTGAGCAAAGTCTAAAGGAAGGACTGAGTAGTGAAAAGAGCTTTTCTAATTCGGGACCCGTTATTGTACTGGATCAGCCAACATATCATTCCTACTCTGTATTGGCCTTTGGAAATTTAAAAAGAAAAAAGAAGAAATCGGTCAGGAGTGAGAGCATACTACAAAACATTGAGTGCTTTATTTCAGTGGAGCTGCATCCTGATCCGGCTGTCTGCTTTCTGCGATGGTCGCGTACATCTCCAAGGCTTGCCCCTGATCCAAGGTCCAACTAGGCAGGATTCACTGTGATCTCTGACTCACATTTTCTCCATTGCAAAAAGCTGCTGAAGAGTGTGTGTGTGTGTGTATATATATATTTATATATATATTTATATATATATAAAAACCAATAGATGTTACTTGTTGTTGCTAGCTCGAACATTTCTCTACTGGTAAACTTTCAACCTGGAAGTGATGACTGCCTAAGGCACATCTTTTTACTGTTGTTATGGGAATAGGAAGAAAGGTTGTTTGTGTGAAGGATCCAAGAGATTTTAAAAGTTGAAGCAGAGAGATGGAATTGTAAAGCTGGTACATTGCCGCAGCTGACCAGGAGAATATAGAAATAAAAGATAGTCTGAAGAAAAGACAAATTAGACCACAGGAACACTGAAGAGTTTGAATTCCAACCCCTCATCCCCCCCCCCCCCCCACACACACATTTTTGTTAGGCAAGTATCCCAGTGAGTTCAATTGGGATTTCATACAAATAGAAATGTACTGATGTGGCAAAAATGGCATATTTTCTACCAGAACAACTCTGCTGACATTACACTTATGAAAATGGGATATAAATGACTTTACCATCAGGGCTGGAATTATTCTAGCAGAGCTTTTAAAAAACAAAACAAAACACTCTTCTTTATAGTCGTTGTGTTTTAGTTTTCTTTGCAGAACTAGTGCTCCAAGTTTATCACTGTAAACTTGCGCATTTCAAGAACTTCTTGACACCATAGATATTTTAAGTCCCTAAATTAAAGTTCATGGATTTGAGGTAGACCTTTTCATTACAAATTGAGTTTTTCTATTGTCTTACCTTTGAACCAGTGGGGGACTGCTATTTCCTGCTACTTATCTCTTCAGATTTCATTCAGTTCTTTCTTAGTAGTGTTAGTTATGGTTATGTTTGGATAAAGAATGTTTGTTTGTTTCATCCTATAAGGAATCTTTTTTTTTTTTTTTTTAAAAAGGACCTTTTTCCACAGTTATTGTTGCTTTTGCTTTAGCATGACTACAGAGCAGTTCTGTGTTCTGTTTCTTTAGTAATTAAGAAGAAAAACTCGACAAGCCTCTGTTAGTTAGTTTGCTTAAGGAAGAGGCTGCCTGAGATTAGAGATGCATACATCAAATGGGCATGCGAGAAAGCTGAGCTGGTGGTTGTGTAAGAAGAAACTTGCTGAGCATCTTGGAAGTGTGTTTGGAAATGGTGTGATGCTAGAAGCTGTGCAGAGTGTGCTGTGCTATCCCAGTTGGGACAGCTCCTGAATTCTGAGTTGTGCCCTTTGTTGGATTCACTGACTGCTCTTTAGTATTGAGCTCGACTCTTCTTGCTTTACACAGAACTTATTTGAAGTCTTTGGATGTTTTTACACTTAACTTAAGCAACTGCCAAAGAGAAAACAGTCCTTCATAATTTTCTGTTTTGTGGACTGTTTGATTACTAAATACGAATGAGTTGTATGCTGTACTACAATGACTCGTTCCAAGTACTATTATCATTGAACAAGTTGCTCAATTACATTATATAAAACCATATCTAGCACTTAATATTTTTCCCCTAAAGCTTCTTCTGGCCTCTTCTGTATTTCTGTTCTTAATGTGTAAATAAAATGTGATGTGCAAGTTTGTGCTTGGTTTGTTGTTCTCTGGTGACTTTTACTTAAGAGGCTCTTTTAAAACAGTTTGAACTTGCAGTGGTGGTGATATTCTATGCTTCCTCCAGACCCTAGTTTCTTTCATTCAAACATTTTTAGGCCATGATTATCCTAATTTTACTGGGCTAAAATTGTTCAGTAGAAATTAGTCCAAATCAAAGAAGAAGCTGCTTTATTTATTTTAGAGCTCGTAAACATGATTTAAGATAACGATTACCCAGAGCTAATTTCTGCACTCAGCGCTCTTGAATTATTCTATCCTTCTAGCCAAAGGCTTTCAAGATGGAGCTGAAGAGTAGAGTATAATTTATATGTTGTCCTAAGGTAAAATCAGATGTTTCTGTCAATTCTTGCTTCCAAGATTTTACAAGGTCTGTAAATTAAGTGCTGTAGATGGTGTTGTTGCCTGCCTGCTTTTGACAAGGAAGTCAGAGTTGATGAACATTGATTTGCCACTGGGAACCAAAACCATTAATTGAAGCTGTGGTGACTAATCCATTACTTTGCTCTGCTTTGTGGATCCTGACTTAACAGTTGTTGCTACAATCAAAAATTCATTCATGCAAATGCACCTATTGTGATTGAAGTAATCAATTTTTTCTAGTTTGTAGTTGGCAGGCTCAGGATTATAGAAGCCTTTCCACGTATCGCTGAATTGCCTGAACAAGC